TTTATTATTATTATCAATGAATCTGTACCCTTTGGTGCCAGTTTCATATCCATAAATCTTAATCTTCTGGATACGTTTTTTCTCCTTTCTCCTCAATTGTTTGGGTATGTGTACGTCTGCAGTGACCCCAAATATGTGCATGTGTGCTAATTTTGGTTTCCTATTATACATCACCTCATATGGTGTCTTATTCACAATACTGGACCAGGTTCTATTTTGAGTGTAATTTGGATAATGTAGTGCTTCTGACCAAAATTGTTTGCCTAAACCAGCATCCTCTAATGTGCATCTAATCATGGTTTGTAGTGTGGAATTCTTTCTCTTACAATCCCGTTTTGGAACGCAGAAAATGGACTAGATGTGTAATGTAACATCCCTCTATCCTTTAGCCATTGGGAGAATTCCTTAGACATGAATTCACATCCCCTATCTGTCATGATTTGTTTTATTCTGATATTATGTTGTGTTTCTATGCGTTTATAAAATTCCTTAAATTTTTGAAAGGTTTCATCCTTGTGTTTTAATGTGTAAACAAAACCATAGCGGCTATAATCGTCTACTATTGTTAGGAAGTAAGTTTTCTATAAGTGATTGATGGAGTTAATGGACCAACTAAGTCCATGTGTACTAAGTCAAAAAATTTTGTTAGTTGATCTGGTGGATTTTTTTGGCCTGGGACTAGTTTTTAATTTAGTAGATTTACATACTGAGCATTCCAAATAATTTTCACCAATTTTTTATTTTGACACCTTCTGCGTGTTCAATCATTTTTTGTACTACAGGAAAACTTGCATGTCCTAACTTCCTATGTAAGATATGAGCACATCGTCATGTATTGGTTTACCTATTTTTGGTTTCTTTTCATTGTGTGTATCTGTGTGATCATGAGATATTTTACATTCATCATTGTCACTGTTACTAATATTTTCATTATCTGCCTCAATGCAATCTTCCATATTTGAATCAATGTTATGTAACCATCTTTCTTTTGTTATCAGATAGGGTAGGCCTCCTTTAATCATCACAGTGCCTACATTAGTTTTATTCTTCTCTAAAGTTGCTTTTCCCTTTGAGAAAACTATATTGATGTCAGAATCTCTGCTTAATTTTATGACACTTAGTATGTTATGAGGTATTTCTGGTATTAACAATACCCCCTCTATTTTTCCTAGACCAGGCAAGGTCACATTCCCTCTGCCTAGTACTTGAACTTTTTCTTGGTTAGCTACTTTTATTACAAACCTATCTTCTGTAAATGAAGACAATATATTTTTGTTATTAGTGGTGTGATTAGTTGCTCCAGAATCAATAAGCCATATTGTTCTCATTTGTTGGTTGCGTTTTGGTGCTATCTTGTTTATTTAGTCCATTCAGTGAACCAGATTTTCTCTCTTTTGAATTTTCTCTGCCCCTCTATTTTCTCTGTAATTTGGTGGGCTTCTATATTTATGTCTGTCTGTGGAAGACTGTCTATAATTGTATTTATTCCTATATTCTGACCTATGTCTTTCTTTTGAGATTTTGGGGCAATCTCTTCTATTGTGTTCTCTGGAACCACAATTGTGGCATTTAAAGGTTTCATTATATTTTTCTTGGGAAAGCTACCTTCCTAAAAGGTTTGTGTTCTGTGTGATTGCTATACGATTTTTTCTTGAATTGTCTTCTGCTATCAATTTGTTAGATAGACTTTCTATTGACAAATATCCTAGATTGATGGTGTCTAAGTGTGACATAAAACTATCCATGATGAATCAAGTGAGTTGATAATAACACTTTTCATTGTTTGATCTGAAATCATTCCCCCCTCAAATGCAGCTCAGCTCTTATTTTGTTTAAAGATATTAAATGCTCACTTATGGAAACCCTGGTTTTACTCTGGAAGAAAAGAAGTCCTTAGACATTCTTGTGGTGGTAGCTACACTATCGCTGTGAAACAAATTAAACATGCATTGAATTATTTCTGAAACAGTTAGGTTTGGTTTGATGCTATGATACATTGCAGGAGACACGCTAGATATTATTAAGAAAAATGCCCTTATGGTGTAAACAATCTATTTTTAAAGTCAAGGTCTTCTTGGGGGACTAGTGATAAAGAATAGTAAATTTTCTTTCATAAAGACAACCTGGAGCTGTTGATACCATTCTTGTAAATTAATGCCATCAACTCTAAGTTTTGGGAAGTCACTGGGTAAGTTACCCACATTATTTTGTCCATTACTTAACCTGAGGCAGTCCGTGGTCTCGCAAGTGTAGAAAATTGCAAAACGGCATGGGAATGCTCGCAACGAGTCTGCGCGGTTCTCTGGCCGTTCAAGTCTTTCCGGACGTCTACGTAGTTTCGCACATGCGCGTTGTTCATTTCTTCTTTGACGTCGTCGTGGAAGGTTCTCTCCATTGCAGCTCGCTCGCTTCGTTCCTCTTCAGACGAGTCGGTCTCTGGCTCGGTCTTAGGAGTTCTGATGGCGGCGGCTGTTCTTTTCTTTCTTTTGGGTGCGTTGGCACTTGCTTCGGTCTGCGGTGTAGGGCGGAATCGACATGGCTCTCTGGGCTCGGGCGTCGTCGTTCTCGAAGTCAGGATGGGAGCGTGCAGGTCTTGAAGCATCGGCTTGTTTGCTTGCTTCTTCGTTGGCGCTTTGGAAATTTTTAATTTTGGCCCGAATGCGGCAAAAAGCGTCTTCATTGCTGACTTTACTTGGGATTTCGTTAAGTCGTTCTCATTTTTGATTCTGGCTCTTCCGAAGAGTTTGAATCCTCCTTTTCACTTTCGTTGTCTGATAACTTTTTTGGCGCCAGAAATTTTGAACTGAGCATTTTGATTGGCTCTGCTTCGCTCACTTTGGAGGCTTGTTGAAACCAAGATGGCTGCCATTCAAAATTTCGCGCGGGATCACATCTTTTCTTTTTCATAACGACTTTCTCTGTAGTCACATCACTCACAGTTTTTTGGTCTTTGGGTTTCTCTTTAGCGATGTTTTTCTCTCTCGCTGCTCCGCTGTTCTTCAGCATTTCTTGGAGGTTCGCGATGAGGCTTTCATCATTCTTCTGGCTTTTTAAAATCTTTAGTATCTCTGACCTGAGTTCGTTATTTTCTATTTCGATTTCTTCCTGGTCATTATTTTCATTTATTAGTTCTTCTTCTTCAGTGGTGTATTCTTCGGATTCTCTCGAAATCGCGTTTGTGAATTCGTTGATTATTTCTTGTTCAGTTTCTATTTCTTTGCTGTAGGCCCTGGTGTTGGGCTGTCTTTCTTAGACATTTTTTTTAGTTATTTATTGAGTCAATTAACCATCCTCTGCTACCAGATTGTTGCAATATTTTTAAGATCAGACTCAATAATAATATTTAGAATTAGAGATTCAAATATATTTCTCTTTAATTATAGTAGGCATTCTATATTCACTGAATATTCACAGATAGAAGCAAGGAAAATGGCGAAGGTGGTCTCCTTATATATACAAAGGGTGGAGCAAGAGTAGGAGTGTGTGATTATGAATACATTAAGAAACAAAGAATAAGTTAACCCCTGATATCCCATTATATACATTATTTACACATTAGGGAATAAGGCATTTACATCTGACAGCTCTGCTATCACAGTACCTGATCGATGAGCCTTGCTTTTGCTATAAATCCCCATTAAATAAGTGATCCTGTTTTAACTATAGACCTGCAATATGAAATACATGAATACTCTAGTGAGCAGCGTTGCTGCAAGAGCTATAATACTGCATTTATGAAATGCTTTGAACATTCCAAGTCATTAGGCCTAGGAATTTGTTATTGTTAATAGTTGTACCATAGGAGCCTGGTGGTGCAGTGGACTAAACTACTGTTAAAGTAGTATTTAGCTGCCAGCTGCCTGCAATTACTGTGAGTTCAATTCTCACCAGGCTCAAGGTTGACTCAGCCTTCCATCCTTCCAAGGTAGGTAAAATGAGGACCCGGTTTGTGGGGGCAATAAGCTGACTTTGTATAAAATAGAACACCGCTTAGGGGGGGCCAAAAGCCCTACTAAGCAGGTATATACAAAAGTATGAAGGCTATTGCTTAAAAGCATTGTAAGCCACCCTGAGTCTCCGGAGAAGGGCGGCATATAAATCAAACTAATAAATAAATAAATAAATAAATAAATAATAAAATCTAAGAATATGGATCTTTTTGGTGAAGTGTTGTTATAGTACATCACTTTCTCTCATTAAGCTGGTTAATTTTTGACATAGCAAGATTACACAATATTAAGTAATATGTCGAAGAACAATCTGGAGATGTTAATTAAATGGTAGCAATGCATGTGACTGTCATGTGCTTTGAATATCATGTTTATTTATTTATTTATTTATTATTATTTATTTATTAATCAAATTTCTATACCGCCCTACTCCCGAAGGACTCAGGGAGGTGAACAGCCAAGATAAAATACAGATAATACAAATATTTAAAAAATCCCTTAAAATTATTAAATATTTCAGCCGAAACACAGATTAAAACACCCAATTTATAAAATCACAAATTAAAAAATTTAAAAAATTTAAAAGATGGGAGTTAGGCCAGGCCAGCTTGCTGAAATAGAAAAGTTTTGAGAGCACGGCGAAACGTGCGCAAGTCCGGGATCTTCCATATCTCTGGGGGAAGCTCGTTCCAGATGGTAGGTGCCCCCACAGAGAAGGCTCTCCCCCTGGGGGCCGCCAGTCGACACTGTTTGGCCGACGGCACCCTGAGGAGCCCCTCTCTATGGGAGCGTACTGGACGGTGAGAGGCTATTGGTAGCAGAAGGCGGTCTCGTAGATACCCCGGTCCGATGCCATGGAGCGCTCTAAAGGTGGTAACCAAAACCTTGAAGCGCACCCGGAAGACCACCGGGAGCCAGTGCAGCGCATGTTAAACACACACTCTTCAAACTTGACTGGATTGACCAGACAATACCCAAATCTCAAGTTAAAATGAGAGAGGGGAGGAGGGAGAGGGAGGGAGAGAGGTGGGGAGAGAGAGAGCCCACAAATGTTTGAACAAGTCTTTATTGAACCAATAAAGGACATTCGACATCAACCAACAGGATTCAAGAATGTTTCTGATCACTTTCTTTATGCTCATGTTATTTAAAGAAAAGCTGTAGGATCACAAATGCCAGAGTCAAGCTTGAAAAAAATCTGGTAGTGATTGTAATCAAAACTGAAAGCTGGAAACTATACAGAAGTTGCTTCAGATCAGGAAAATAATGATATTAGTTCAAAAACATGGACCTTTTTCTTCTTCTCTGGATTTCAGTATTCTGTTTTTCTGGTTGCTTCTGGTAACTGCTGAGGTGACTTACAGGGTAAAACTGGATAAAGCCATTTCAGCTTCATTGTGAAATGTATCTTTCCTCACTTTTATTGCTTGCAGTGCTGGGTTTATTCCTTCCCAATTACTACAGGGCTGCTCCTTTGGATCCATTTCTGAAATTGTGAGCAAATAAAACCAGTTCAATGACAATATCATGTACTGAGCTGAAATACTTTTAAGAACAAAATCCCTATCCAATTTTTAGGCAGTACATTTCTACAAGCAAATACGAGATTTTTTTGGCACAATTTTTAAAAAACAGTCACAATTTGAGGCAGTAGCAGAGTCTGTTTTCCGATGCCAGGTAATTTTGGCTGCCTGAAAAGTAGCTCCTTATCTTTCTTCTGCTTCTTATTGATGAATCATTACCAGTCTTTCAACAGCTTGATCAACTATTTCAGAGGCTTCTAGGCAACAAATTACCTGGCAGGGAATTTGCTTGGAAGTCTAATTTAAATTGACTAGACTTAAAATGACTCACAATTTTCCTATCTTGTTGGCTGTCTTCTCCAAGGCAATGAGAACCTCCTCTTCAATGATAAAAGGAGACGTTTCATTCCATGGGGGTGTGGGCTCTCAACTCCCTTTGAATGTATTAAAAATCATTTTGAGGTAGGATCATTCCCAGTGTAGTAGGAAAATGTTCTGCCATTTCAGCAATCCACCCAGTGCGTTCTATGGACAGTGGGGCCAGAATAAGGAAATTGCCGATTTCACTTGCTCGGCAAGAGAATGAGCCATTCCTCTGTCCATGAGCCAACCTTGAGTGGGTGTGGGCTGGTATGTCTCTGTTGAAATTAATGCAACACTGCTGATTTGTATCTGCTTAAGAGGTGAATCTAGGCATATTCTGCACGTATGTCAGCCCTTAGAGAATACAGGAGGACAGGCAAACAGCCCCGTCTGCTAATCTATCCAATCTATGCATTACGGATTTTCTAAAGGCAAAAGTATTTACTGAGTTTGGACAGAGCCAGGAGAGCTTAAAACAAACTGATATTGGAATCTTTCATCAAACTCTTCTGGAATAATAGTCAATATTGTATTATATAAATAGTGGCCAATCTCTTCCCGATCTTCTCTTTGTGTGGAAAATCACGTCAGACCTCCTTGATCGTTGGTGTAAGTTCTGTCAATCATTCACAACTGGCCATAATATTATGTGCATCTGTGCTAAAATTCAGTTTATGAATTCCCTTTCTCTGTTTAGAAGAGAGCTTAAAGTACAGAACATGATTTGCTGTTAATAATGGCACTGCGAGGTGACACAGACCTCAGCAAACGTACTCATTTTGGATTTCTCCACCTGATCAAGCTGAACAAGCAAAGTTTTTCAAAGGACCCTACAGGGCAACATGTACTTAGGTGAACCAACTGCCTTTGTTTAGGAACAAAGCCTTGAGGTTTGTCAATAAAGCAAGTAAAGATGCAGTTTAAAAGAAGGGGAAGGGTGTGAAAGGGACTATAAGCCAACTAGCTGAGGCAGGGTGGAAGTTGAGAGAGGAAAATTGGGGAAACAGAAGGCAGGGAACCAATATGTGATTCTTTTTTTAAAAAAAACCAAGAAAAACATTTATTTTATTTGCTTGCAGTCAATAAAACAATATTTTCCATACAAGATGAAATAGATACAGTATTTGCAAAATATCAAGAGTTTAACCTGAAGTCTTTTTCAAGAATCAGGAATGATGTTTAGAGATACGTTCAGACCATAGATAATAAAATGTTTCAAATCTTATTGAGGGCCAGTTTGGCCTAGTGTTAAGGCACCAGGCTAGAAACTAGGAGACTGTGAGTTCTAGTCCCACCTTAGCCACAAGAAAGCCAGCTGGGCGACTTTGGGCCAGTCATTCTCTCTCAGTTTATCTCACAGTTGTGGGGCAAATAGGAGGAAGGAATATTAGATACTGTATGTTCACTGCTTTGAGTTATTTATAAAAAAATAATAGAAGTGGGATATAAATAAACAAATATTAGGAACAGCTCATACAGAGTCAGCTTGTACTTCCAATGAGGGTCTACCATTTTCTTTCAGATCCCAGCTTGAACCCAGAGATGGACAAAATGAACTCAATTTTTGCAATGGGACTTCCCTTCTTCCAACCTCTCATGACTAAATCCTTGGGAGCTTGGAAGATTCATGGGGAATGAGGGAAGGAAAAGACTACCTGGTGGATTTATAGGAGTCGTTTTGGGTTTATTTGATTGGGAAATTCATTTTTTATATATTGTATGTGTTAATCCTTATCTGGTGCCCAGAATCTCACTTATGAGATTGGCAACCACGAACATTTATTTCAATAAATAAATAAATAAATAAATAAATAAATAAATAAATAAATACCAAATTGAATTGGCTTCTGTGCATCAAAATGATTTTCTGCTTTCTCGGGACAATACATGCTGCTCAAAAAAAATAAAAGGAACAAAAGCAGAAGACATCCGAGATCTGAATGAATGAAATAGCCTTATTAAATACTTTGTTCTTTTCATACAGTAGTTTATACACTGCTCAAACAACTAAAGGGAACACAAAACTACTGTATGTAACGAACAAAGTATTTAATAAGGCTATTTCATTCATTCAGATCTCGGATGTCTTCTGCTTGTATTCCCTTTATTTTTTTGAGCAGTGTAGTTATACTCCTCTGGCTGAGAGATTGGGAATGGCCCAAAGTCTCACAATCTATTTTATAGAATTGTTAGGAATTGCCTACCAACCTGAGCTCCAAGCATCAAGATGGGTTAGAAATATAATAATAAATAAAAAATCTGGATGGCAACCATTATGATGGAGAAATATCATAAAATGCATGTTAACTTGGGAATGGTTGCATAACTGTTTTAGATGATTTGCCTAAATTTTCTATCCTAATCTTTACCTCAAATTTATTTTACTTTTATTGTTGCTATAAAAACATTTCAAAATTTAAGGAAAAACATTACCATTTTAAACATTACTTCATATTTGATATATTTCACCATTTGGAAGATAGCTGTTCTATCACTTAGAGTTTACGTATTTAAAAAAATGAAAAAAAAAACCCAGATAATTGTGATTGGATGAAAATTGTATAGTGATTTCTTTTACAATTTATAATTTATTTATTTTTTAATTTGATTTATAAGGATGCAGGGGGATGAAGCGATGGGCATTAGTATAGTAAGTGGGAGGGGCAGATATGACGGCTGCAGGGGGCCATATTATGTTTCGGGAGTGCGCACTCGATGTTTACAAGCAATTGCGCATTCTGATCCCCAAAGCACTGCTCGTTTCCCGGGTTGTTCAGAGTCTCAGACCCTGGGTCTACGGCTGATGTTATGTAATGCCAGGTCAGTGGTAAATAAAGCCCCCCTCATTCATGATCTTATTTCAGAGGGGGGTGCTGACCTGGCAGGGATTACGGAGACCTGGTTAGGCCAGGAGGGAGGAGTTCCCCTTGTGGAAATGTGCCCGCCAGGTTTCCGTGCATTCCATCAGCCAAGGACTCAGGGAACGGGTGGGGGAGTGGCAGCAATCATTAGAGAAAGTCTTTGCCCGAGGGAGGCCACTGTTCCTCAGATAGCCGGATGTGAGTCCCTCCTTGTGAAGTGGGGTCAGGGGATTCAGATGGGCCTACTGATTGTGTACCTGGCTCCCTGCCACATAACGGCGGTCCTGCCTAAGCTGCTCGACATTATAGCCGGGGTGGCGGTGAAAACCCCCAGACTTATTGTTATGGGGGATTTTAACCTGCCATCCGCTGGTGAGATGTCGGAGACGGCTCGGGAGTTCATGGCTTCCATGACGGCCATGGACCTGACCCAGGTAGTTCAAGGCCCCACCCACTTGGGGAATCACACTCTGGACTTGATTTTTGTCTCTGATCAGTGGCTGAATGATCTAAGAATAGGGGATATAGACATCAAGCCCTTGTCATGGTCTGATCATTCTCTCCTTCACATGGACTTTCAAGTCACTTCCACCCACCGCAGGGAGACGGAACCAACCAAATGGTTCCGTCCCAGGCGCCTGATGGACCCCGAAAGGTTCCTGATGGAGCTTGGGCCGTTTCCTGAGACTCTGGCTCACGACTCGACTGAGGACCTGGTGGTCGCCTGGGACAGGGAGGCTACTGGGGCCTTGGACCGCGTCGTGCCTTTGCGGCCTCTGACCTGATGCCGATCTCGTCTAGCTCCTTGGTTTTCCGAGGAATTGAGAGAGATGAAGCGTCGGAAAACACGCCTGGAGAGCGATTGGAGGACAAGCCGATCTGAATCTGACCGAACACAGGTGAGATCTTATATTAAGACCTACCTAGTGGCGATAAGAGCGGCGAAGTCTAGCTACTTCTCCGCTCTTATTGCATCTGCAGAGAACCGCCCAGCTGCGCTGTTTAGGGTGACCCGCTCCCTATTTCAGGTGGGGGTACGGGAAGATCCCTTAAAGGGTCGAGCTGAGGATTTTGTACAATTCCTGCATGATAAAGTCGCTCAGATTTGGGAAGGCCTGGACTCCAATTAGGTAGATCCAGGGGAGGAGATGGGGGCAGGTCTTGAGAGCGTTATCTGGGAAGAGTTTGACTCTGTGACTCCTGAGGACGTGGACAGGATTCTGGGCAAGCTTAACGCTGCCACATGTTTATTGGACCCGTGTCCCTCCTGGTTGGTACTGGCCTCCTGGGAGGTTACACGAGGCTGGCTCCAGGGGATTATAAATGCTTCTCTGAGTGAGGGTGTCTTTCCTGCCGCCTTGAAAGAGGCGGTTGTGAAGCCCCTCCTCAAGAAGCCTTCCCTGGACCCGGCTATATTATTAAATTATCGTCCAGTCTCCAATCTTCGCTTTGTTGCGAAAGTTGTTGAGAGTGTGGTGGCGCGACAACTACCCCGATACCTGGATGAAGTTGTCTATCTGGATCCGTTCCAGTCGGGCTTCAGGTCACGATACAGCACGGAAACGGCATTGGTCGCGTTGGTGGATGATCTCTGGAGGGCTCGGGACAGAGGTTGCTCCTCTATCCTGGTCCTATTAGATCTCTCAGTGGCTTTTGATACCATCGACCGTGGTATCTTACTGCACCGGCTGGAGGGGTTAGGAATAGGGGGCACCGTGCTTCGGTGGTTCTCCTCCTTC